TCAAAAAGGCTTAAAAATGTCAACGTTTTGTTTTTTAAAGAGAAACTATATATATATGGCCAGAGAGTGGAAGTTAGTACTATCACATTAGCTTGGACAAGGAAATCTGTTGTAGCCCAGTAGCATCAGGTGCAGATATAGTCTGGTCAATCTTCACCAGGAAAAAAAAAAAAGGCTTAGTACAAATAAAATAGTTTGTGTAAAGTGCTGCTTTATTTTTGTGGTCCTGTTTTTGTGTGCCAGTACTAAGGCTTGAACTCACAGACTTGGTCTCCCACTTGGCTTTTTCTGCTCAATCCTGGCACTCTACCACTTGAGCCACACCTCTACTTCCTGCTTTTTGCTTGTTATCTGGAGATAAGAGTCTCTGGGATTTGAATGTCCAGATGTCACAACTGAATTGAGATACTAAGATGTCAACCTCCTAACCAGCTAAGAATGAGCCACCATTGCCAGGTTTAAAATGCTGCTTTAATCACTTTCAATTGAGGTGCGTTACCAAAACATGTTTTTAACAGCAGACTGATAAAATTGCTACTATTGTGGACAAAATGTCTGCACACCTAACATAACTCAGCTTCTTTAGAGCATGCTAAAAAACAGTAATCACATAACAATGGCAAGATAAAAGGTAACTGTTCAAACGTCTCAAACTCTTTCTAAATTAGCATTTCCAGGAGTGAAATTTCATTTTACTTATATTTAATGGTAAAGTATCTTCTACAGGTTATAGTCTATACAAACTGTCACAATGCATTAATTTCTGAGGTGATAATGATTAAAATTTAAAGCTCACACTATAAGCATCCAAGAAATTATTACAATGAACTCCTCTCATACCATTAATACATGCTAATAAATTTTTCTCAAAGTTCGAGGGATGCATCAGGTGACCCAGCATTAAAGACATAAGACTAAATAATCTTAATGCTTTAAGCATGATCTTTTCAATATTTCTTTGTTAATAAGGGAAAATTTTTTAAAGAAACTCAGCAAGTGTTAATACAAATAAAAGCATTTAAAATCTTACCATAATGTGTTATTTAGTACGTTAATCATAAAGGTATTTTTAGGAGAACAAGGGACTTTATTTCTTAAAATCAATAGAATTCACTTTAAAATTTCCTATTTGTGCTGCTTTAAACTCACACATGAAAAATTTATGAAGATCTGAAATCATCCTACAGGTTTCCAAGAGCCACTCTACCCATCAGCAAAAGAAACTATCCCCAGGACCTCAGAACCTTATGCTCTTGGCAGCACTCAATTTTCCTGTAGTGTTAGAATGAACATGGTAAAGGATAGAGATATAGAATCAGGAAGTTTTATATTAGAAACTGACAATCCAAACCACCCTTTCAGGATGGTCATTCAAGAACTAATTCAAGTCTACTTTCTAGCTCATTGGACCCAACTATGAACGAAGGGAACTGTAGTAGAAGTACCACCGAGGAGCTAGTTAGAAATGCAAATTCATGGCCCCACCCAAATCCAACTGAATCAAACTCTGGGAAAGCAGCCCAGCAATTTGTGTTTTAACAAGCACAACAGGAGATTAAGATGTAGGCTGAAGTTAAGAGAGTCACCCCCCCCCCCACTTTAATGTGCATAAGAATTACCTGGGGAGCTAGTTAAAATGCAAATTCTAAATCAGCAAGGCTGAGGTGGGGCCTCAGAGCCTACTCGTCTAACAAGTTCCTAGGTGACGTTTACAGGATGGAGAACTGCATTGCAAGTCTTTCCCAAATCCACTGTTTACTAAAATTAACCCTCAGTTGCTCATAAAATACTGATGCCAAAGCACTACTGCAAATCGAATTAATCAAAACCTAAAAAGAGAGACACCTAGGAGATAACCAGCAGTTCTCCATCACAGCCACATACTATACATACATAATTATCTGAGAGACATTCAATAACCCTGATTCCAGACTCCATCCAAGATCAATTAAATGAGAATTTCTGGAGGTAGGAAAAATCCAAGGTTTCCAATGTACAGCGATTGTTGAGAATGAAAGCTCTAGAGTGTAAATGCCTCAACACTTGACAAAGCAGATCCTTTTAGTGTAGTAAACAGATTCCTATAAAATGGCTGAGCTCCCTCAAATATAAACTCAAAAGGTCTAATTTTTGAATAGTAAAACCCACCTAAAGTTATATTTTTTATTTTGAACATTATTTCTGTGGACAAATGTGCTCTCTCCAATTGGGTAGGTACTCAAAAAGACAGTAGCAATGAAGAAATATTCGAATCAGATTATATATTGATATCTCCTCAATCCTGAAATACGAAACACTTGAAATTTCTAATAACCTTTCAGAGTGGAAGGGTGACTGATGTACCTGTAACTTCTAAACCCATAAAAGGCAGGTTTCAGCAGTTATATTCTGACAAAAACATCCTGGGAAGGCATGGGAAAAAAATGTGTACTCTAACATTATAAGAATTTGAAATTGTCAAAAGGACATCTCCTGGTGGAGAAAGAACCTAAATCATAGTGCTCATAATTCTGAGAAAAAAAGCCCAGTATGCCTATTTTTAAGGCACTTAGTACAATACCATGCTAATGATTACACAACACTATTAAATATGTGAAGCAAAACAAAAGGGTATGGTAGAGACTGGGGCATTGTCAAATGATCATGTCATACCCTTAAATTTTCCTGAAATTTACACACTACATTTAAAAATGTGTTTAAGATAAATGAAAGTCAGTCACAGCCTTTTTTTCCACCAAAATAAACTTTCATTCTCTGCTTGGGTTCACCATGAATTAGTTGTTTGTAAAATATATAGTACACTCAATATCTACTAAATAACAGCATTTATTATTATTCCACCAGCATTTTAACATATTCCCAGTGGTCAGACGTGTGTCTTATTTACCTACTGATTCCTTTGGGAAAAAGGAAATACATGTGCTTGAGTATCAGAAGAGAAACAACCTAAATATATATGCAACTGTTACAATGTTATTTTCAAAAAAAAAAAAACTATAGGAACTGGTCAATCTCACTTTCCTGTTAAAATTCTTCTTACAGTCATTCAGTTAACCTAAACTCACTTTAAAAATGTGTGAAAATAGCACCTCCTCCAAGTGTGTTCTCAGATGCTTTGGAGCAATAGAGCGTGAATACTAAAACAACCTTTGCCAAATTCATGTCCCAGCTCAAGAACTAAACTGGAGTGATTTTTATAGTCCTATGACCTTACAGAGGAACCTATGTATCTGCACAGGATGAGCTTTATAATACATTTCAGCCACACAAGAAAAGGCAGAAAAGTGCCAAATAAATGACTCAAGTTAATAAACATTCCACAGATATTTTAAATAAAAAGTTTTTCAAATTTTTTACTTCTTGACCCCCAAAAATAGGTTAAATAAAGCTGTAGATTTAAAATTTAAGCTTCATGACTTAACACTGTGAAATTTCTAAAGACTTAATTTGTATAACCAAGTGTCCACCACAATGTCTTTTCACACATTTCTCATGAACACATGCCCAAGGATGGATCAAGTCTAAAATAAAATGTACAAACCACAGAAGAGTAATACATAATGAAATACATTTAAGGTATTAAAACTAAAGAAAACAAACAATAGAGATGGCACAATTTCCAGGACACTTTATTGTAATTTCTACTTTACATATTAATTTAATATTTTGAGTATAGGTAGAATTGTTTGTTGGTATCCAGTAGTATTTCAATCCCCTAATGTCACAAAATGACAGGCAGCAGTTGCAAAAGTACATCAATTCAGGTATTTAGGATATGAAAAAAATGAGAAGCCCTTGCTTCAACCAGAAAGAGTTAAGAGTTGTTGCATTTGAGACTAAAGTTCCACCGAAATTTGTCTTCTTTTTCTTGTTGCTGCTAAGTAGTCACAGTAAAAACAATCATCCATTTTCCCATTCTGCCCGTTTGCTCTTTACATTCAGTGTAGCATTTAACTCAAAAACTCAGTTTACACATTAAAAAACAAAGCCATATGGCCCATTTCCCACACACTGAAATGGACAGGGATTAGAAGTGACCTGGCTTTTAGCTGTAACAGTGCTATTTTAAACAACTTCAACCAGACACTTGGAAGAGTAAGATAATTTAAAGTATAACAGAAAAGGAAACCATAAACATGCCTACACATTTGCTCCTAGATTGTTTTAACTATTTCTCAAAGCGTTTTGTAGAAGAACACAGATTTGTAAAAAGTGAAATGAACACAAAAGCATATGCATGCTTAATGTTCAAGGGACAACCTCTCTGAGCTATTATCGAGAGAGTGGAATGAAGGGGGGAGAGAAAGGTATCACTGTTCAAATGTGAGGATGTCGGCTTCACTACAAACACATTTTAATGGGTATAATTGGGTAAAAATAGGTAGTGAAGAAAAACGTGTTTTAAAACAAAAAACAAACTCTTTGCTCCTTAAGCTATCAGAAAAGGCGGAGGAAAAAATGGGCAACCTCCTCAAGCTCAAGAACTAAGTTCCACCAGTAGCAAAATCCAAGTTGGGATAGTTGCTATTTTTTTTCCTCTGTGCATTGGGAAAGTAGCTCTCCAAGTACAAGTTCGCGACAGGGTGGGAAGAGTGGCGGGATTTTCACGTGGAGTAAGGGAAATACAAGTGAGGAGAGGTGGGCACCTTCAGGGATCCAGACGTCTCAAATCCGGATGGCGTGCGGTCGGGGTGGAGGGTGAGGGTGGCAAAGAAGAGAAGGAAAGGGTCAAAACTTGTGGAAGTTAGTGCAACGAGCAAGCGAGCACCTTTGGAAGGCAAGGGACTCTCTAGTAGCACTATTACTTTCAAGTGTGCGATGCTTGTCTGATGGGGCAGAAGGCGCGGGGTACCCTAACTTAGATCAAGTGGCTCCAGGGGACCCCGAGAAGCGCGAGGGACAGGGGCGGCCGCCGCCTGGGACGCGGACTCGCACTTTCCCTCAACTCTGAGCCCCATCCCGAGTGCAAGAGAGAGGGCGGCAGAGGGCACCGTACTCACTAGGGCTCGTTGGTGAACCTGGGGGTCCGGGGCTGCTGGTATCCGTACAGGTGACAGTAGAGCACATCGAAGCAAAAGCAGCACATCTCCGCTGACACCACCATCTTCCGGGAGCCCGGCGAGGAGGACAAGGCGGCAGACGCTGAAGAGGGCGAAGAAGCAGTGGCGGCGGACGGGGTAGAAAGTAGCGTTCCTACTCCGCAGCTCAAAGGTGGCGACAGGGAGATACCCCCGCCACCGCCGCTGCAGCCCTGGGGGGAAGACAGGGTACAGCCGCTGCCACTGCTTCCTCCGGCTAGACCTCCTAGACCGTTGAGCCTTGTACCGGCGCCTCCTAGTCCCAGTTCCCCAGCTCGGCACTGGCTCTCTCCGCTGCAGTGGGAGGAGGAGGAGGCGCCACCACCGCCACCAGAGCCAGAGGGGGGCGAACTGGACAGTTTCTGCTTCTTCACCCCACAGCAGCCCGCCGCCATCTTGGAACAGTCTCCCCCACGCAGCGCTTCCGACCCATAAGTGAGGCGAGCTAGCGGCGGGGGCGAGCACGCTGCGGCCCCGGCCGCCGGGGGCGCGCTGGGGGCTCGCGGGGCGCGTGCGCGCCGTTTCTCGGGCCGAGCTGCCTGGCCACGAGGCTGCTCGTGCGCGCCCCCACTAGGGAGCGCGCCACACGCTTTCGTGGCTCAGTGCCTTGCGCTTGTCCCGTCGCCCGAATCGCGCCTTCTCAGAACCCAAGTTCTGCGTGCAGCAAAGGATGGAAGCGGGAAAGAGTATAGAAAGAGAATTGATAGAAATAACTGGAAGACAGTGGAGAGTGGAAGTAGAGGAAAGAAGCAGACACTTTCATACAGTAAGGAAGGAAAAGAAAAGGGATGGAAGTAAGGAGCCGGGGGTGGCGGGTGGGGGGTAACGAAAGGAAAAAATCCAAAGTTAGCGTCCAAGTCCCAAACCAGAGCTCAGTAGCCCCCCACCCCCCAACTGCAGTGTTACTGACACTTGAGCCTAGGTACTTAGAACCTGATCCACCAGGTCTCAAATACTCTGGTTCTGAACTTTTGGAGTGTGAGGAACAAGGTTCTCCTTAGAGCTCCACGTATGACACAGTCCCTAATAAAAATATGTACAAAATGGTCCGGGAAATGGCCACACTTTGGTGTCCTTTAATGCCAACCTAAGATTACACCAGGATTATTGTTGGGCGTGGGGAAGGGGAGTGCGCATGTGTGAGTCATAAGGCTTGAACTCAGGGCCTGGGTGCTGACTCTGAGATATCTGTGCTCAAGGATAGCACTCTACCACTTGAGCCACAACTCCACTTCTGCCTTTTGAGGTACTTAATTGAAGATAAAAGACTCACATATTTTCCTGCCCAGGCTGGTTAAAAACTATGATCCTTAGAGCTCAGCTTCCTATTTACGATTACAAGCTTGAGGCAGAAGCGCTCACCTTGTTGTTGCTGCTGCTCTTGTTTTTAAGCAGTACACTTTCCTAGTCAACAGAAATCTGTATCCTAAATGGATCTACTCTTCTTGTTTTTTTTTCCCCTTTTACTCCTGTGGGGGAAAAGAAAGGCTAAAATAAGTAAATAAATAATAAATTATCACTGATTCAAAGATGTTAATTGTATCTTGAAACTTGTAGCACTGGGCTTTCCAGGCGAAAAGGTTTGGGTTTCTTTGGCTTGGGAACAAACCAATTCAAAATATATCTGTACTGCACAGATCTTATAGGTAACAAAATAGTATACTTAGTCACAAATTGCATAATTTTGTTCAGGTATATAATTAGACCATTCTTTTAAAAAAAAACTTCAATTAAAAATGCTAGGATGAATGAGAGGTGTATGAGTCAATCCCATTCTGAGCACCTAAGATGTGGTTTTAAAAAATGAAAATCAGATGTTAAAATTCATAGAAATGAATCTGATTCAAATGATGTGATTTGTGTTGTCTCCAACATAGCAAAACATGTGAATAATGTCATATATTTACATATCTGTAAACAGCCAAAGATTGATCTTGGCACCTTTTATGTAAATGTGTGGAACCTTACAAATAGTTGGGGACTATTCATTCCCCTCAAGGAAAGAAAAGAAGTTTATTCATTCGGTAAATATTGAGCCTCTGCACCACACTGTATGAAAAACACTACACTTCTGTTCAAATCCAGGACATACAGAGGAAGAATGCTTCTTGTTCTCAAGGAGTTCATAAATTAAATCAGATCTGTATACATACCCAGAAAAATAGTTGTTATTTATTGAGCATTTGCTTAGGTGTTGGTACAATCCCTCATTTTACCCTGTAATCCTAGAAAATGATAGATTATCTCAATTGATCTTCACAGCAAGGGTCTGAAGTTGCACATGTAAACCACACAAGTAACTTAACTAACATTACATTCCTAGAAAGTGACAAGAGTCAGGATTTGAATATAAGAATGTCCAGTTCTAAAAATTAAGTCACAGAGCGAGGTGTGTAACTCAGTGACTTCTAGCTCTTCCCTAATGTACCCAAGTCCCCAGATACAATGAAATAAATAAACAAAAATGAATAAAACTATTACACCATTCTGTCCCTCAATGGCAATATAGAATAATAAGTTTAATAATACACAGGACATCATGACACTAACAGCAGGTAGATCCAAAGTCAAACAAGCTTAAGAACTTAATTTTTATGTAAGGATTGAGGGACACTGAAATATTAACCAAGAAAGTGGAACAACCTCCTTCCAAAAACTTTTTTTATGAAAATAGATCAACTGGATTGGTTAGATGCCCCTTAAAAACAAACGAACAAAAGATGGGTTGTAATATGTGATTTCATCTCAAACCTCATTATCACTTTTAGAACCCACCTTATGTTTGAGGAAAGTAACAATTCATTGTCAATATGGAAGTAAAACTGTACTTAGTTTTTGTGTATGTTGCAGAAGAGAAAGCAAATTATATTTTTAATAAAAACACCAAAATAATTCATACATGGAGTACTTTGTTTTGGTTTGTACTTTATCCTTAGCTATCAGAGCCTACTTTGTGTTTGAAACTGGATGACCATTACACATGGTATTACATGTATTGAGTTATGCAATTGTACCCTTTAAAGAAGTCAATTAAAAATAAAAATAATGTTAAAATCATAAGTATGCAAAGTGATACATATGTTGTTACTTGATTAGTATGATCATTTCACATGGTATACACATGTTAAAGCATTGTTAGTCACCAGAAATATTTAGTTTTCCTTGGTCAATGTACATCAGTACAGCTATGGAAAAAGGAACTGGATCAAATATAGTATCAGACAATAGGTATGAATGTGTTACCCACCCCACTAAAAAGTGATCACTTGTAGTATAAAAATCCAAAGCCATTTAGTGACATTACACAAGAGTTTAGCACAGGAAGCAAAATAAGATACCATGGATGGCTGCTTTTGCTAGGGGAATTTAAGAGAGCAGAATGTAATATTTCCCAATTTAGAATTTGGCCAGTAGACAAGAGTCTAACGCCCCTACTCTTGTGAAAATAGCAAGGAATCTTTAATAAGCACCAGTAGTCATGTCCTTAGTTCTACATTTTCTCTAAAAGACAAAATACTATCCTAGATATCATGCTAGACTAAGGGACTATTGGACTGGGAAACCCAAAGACGAGGACACTCCAGCTGAACTACAAAAATAGCTTTTTCCCCAAGGATTTTTAGCTCCAATTCCAAAGCACACTAGCGTAAGGAAAATAGACAAGCTCAAATGTGATCATTACACAAGACATCATTACCTGACCAAAATGGGTTACTCATCTGAAATGCTTTATTGTATGTATTGGCTAAACCGAGGGAAAATAGTAACCTTTTTCTCTGCATTAACTTCTAACTTGGCTTATCTCCCAAACTAACCTTGAGCTTCTAGATACTTTATAAATTTGCTGGCAAGAAGTGCAGCTGGCAGTGGTGGTAATGCCTTCTTTTGGCCTTTGAGGAAATGCCTCTCCTGGCTTTACTTTCTTGCAAAGAGTATAGAAACAAACAACTCATTCAAATAAATCCACAGAATGAATTTTGTGAAAATGTTGTTTTAATATTTGTACAAAGCACATACTTGATAAGGAAACTGAACTTGCTTAGGATTCTCTTGGCTTGAAGTATAAAGGTAAAAAATATGATAGAGTACATGTGTTTCTACCCTCTGCTGTCACTGGAGGACCATGATAATAGCCCTCCAAAGGAAACAGTAAGGTGCCTTCTGCTCTTTGTAACTGACTGTCAAGCTGGGAGCTAAAGATTCCACATGTCTTTTCAATAATGAAGGACATAGGCCATAACATCTTTGTCAACAAAGCACATTCATATTTTAAGCATTTCTGCTTCTACATCTGCTACTGCATTGCTGTTAATGAACTCTTCTCAATGCTTTCTTTTTACAACTCTGGGAAAACCTCCCGAACAGAAGATATGCCCGTTATTTACTATGTAGTAAAACTGGAAATTGAATTAAACAAGATTGCTGATTATTTTATCATTGTTTATTTATTATCATGATTATTTCTTATCATGTTTACAACAGTATATTTTCATTTCAGAAAATAAGAACAATTGGAATTTGATGAGATAGAGAACTTTTTTAATGTTGCAAAATTATTTCCCTGGATTTCTGAAGGCACAGATGAGATGGAAAACATTCACATAACTGAATGAAAAAATTTCCATTTATGCCCAAACAAGTGATATTTTATACTCTGCCACAAACTTTCTCAACTGTCATCCTCGAACAACTGAAGAATAGTCTTAGCTACCACTTTGATCTATTCTTGTACATACATAACCTGTGGTTATGATGGTAGCAGAGGTAATTAGTTCTCTTTTATGTTTAATGAGCATGTAAGTAATACTGAAATTCTTTACCTACTTTTCAATTTAAGTTGTTTAATCAGGGTTTTTTTTCTTTTCCTGATTACAAAATAGATTTCTTCCACCTCTTTAATTCTGGTGAATATATTTATGAGCGAAAGCACCAAGATATACCTAGGACTGGTTTTCTAGTTGTTTTGTTCAAAACCTATTTCTTCTATAGTTAACTGAAATGCAATCTAACTGAATGTTACTTTGCTACCTATTTCCTTGGGAGAAAGTTACATAAACTCTTTAATGACATTTAGATGTGTTAATACTGACACTGAAAGTGGGAGAAATAATAGAGCCAGCTAGATGGAGACTAGAAATGACCAAAAATCTGTAGTTGCTTTTCTGTAAGTAATCTCACCAAGCTTTGGAATGTCTCTTCCAGTTGATTAAAGGCACAAGTTGGACAGGGTGAGGATTAACACTATGAATTAAAATGTAAAAATCTGTTCAGAGTTAAAAGTCTAGTGCAAATATTTTATTTTAAAGTTCAAAATAATTCATAGCACTGAAGAGTGGAAATTTGAGCCCATAATCTGGGCTCTGCTGGATCCTGATACAAATATAGCTCCTTCTGTCTTAACCCACTGTTTACCTGCCCCAATATGTGGCTCATTCTCTCAGCACAAATAAT